CTCTATTGCGACCTGGGTGAGAGCCTGTAAAATTATTAACGATTATTATATATATATATATATCTACTACTCGTTCATGAAAACTGAAAGATCAAAGGCAAAAGAGGAGTGAAGGGGGTGGAGTAGTAGTAACTTGCCTCCTTCAGAAGTTTATTATGGCATATCAGCTATTGCTCCCAGACAATACTTACCTCGTAAGAGCGTCATTGAAATTGAAGGGTGGTTAGAAAAGAGTAGAGTAAGATTATTTTTGTTAATTCTTATTTTGTTTTCATCGTTTTTTGCTAATTGTAGGAGGTATTATATATGTCATGGGGAGGGGGGGGGGTATTACCATTGGCCTAGGGGATAGAGGTGTAGACGACATTGGTGCTTTCTATTTTTTTTATCTAATACGTGTGGGATTAATTGTTATTTGTAACCTATTTGGTTTAGCAACATTATATTTTCAAGGAACCATTGTTTCTTTTACTTTATGTGTTTTATATTTTAATTTTGTTAGGGGGTATATGTATAATTTCGATAAGAGAAGGTTTAGGAAGCAAGTAATTATCCCACAATTTATTCCTTCTCTTTAATTTAGGTGATAACCTGGTAGAATATGATGCATGTAAGTATAAGCTTTTTAACTATCTCCAATGCAAATCACAATCACAGGAAATTGTTAATTTGGAAAATAGAAATTGCGCAAATTGTAATGTGTTAGATGAAAAATGACATGTCATTCTGATGGGTATTTCGATAAAATAAAATGATTATAGAGGATTTCCAATATTAAATTTTCGGGCCTCGGGTCAAGCTGCCTCTTACATCTCGATTCGAGCCCGAAGAAAACGTATTAAATGTCCCCACCCGACCCAAGATTCAGATCAGATTGGGTTTGGACAGTTCATGCGGGTCTATACTTATCACCTTAATTTAGCAACCGCTAATGTTTGTGCCCATGATACAAGTGTACTTTATATCTTTTTGACATTCTTAATATGATATGATAAAAAATGTAAAAATCATTTTGACATTTTTTTTCTTCTGTATTTATTTTAGCTAAAAATTTAATCATGAAAGGTATAATATTAATTATGAAAAATATCTAAAAAGTTTATCCCTATAAAAAAAATTAAAAAAAAAACAAATACTATTAATTTAAGTCAATATGACTAAATACAGTTGGCTCGGCAAATTGCGCTGGTTATTCTTTCCATTGGTAAAACCAGTTCCTTGGATCGCCTGTAATTACTCATAGCCATTGCCCTATTGTTTTAAAAGGTTTAGAGCTTGAGGTCGAAATGAGCCACATGCGCCTGACTGACAACCATAATAAACAGAATGTTGTTTAGATAGCTGTTATTTTTATATGGGATTTTTGCATTAATTTTGTGGTTTTTCCTTTTTTTTACATTTTATACATATATTTTATTTTTTGATATTTCAAATTTACTGTTGTATTAGATAACTATAATTTTATGATTTGTTATGCGTATTCATTCATATGAATAATTGTATTAAAATTAAAGTGAGTCAAACTTCCTAGAATTTATTGCGTTCTGCCACAATGGTAGCTTTTAACTTCATTGGATGGTCGTTTTTTTCATAAAAAAATTATTAATTTGCTAAGTTTATTTCAATCCCTTTATTTGTAAGGAAAAATAGAATCACTTTTCTTGTCCTTTATTTAAAATTTTATATCAGAGAGTAAAAATATTACTTAAATTTTCTAATTTTTCTCACATTTTATATGTAATAAAATATATACAATAAAAAATAGTTTCAATAAAAAATAATTTCAATAATATAAGATAAATAAAAAAAAACATGAATAATCTTTTTAATTATGCCAGTCAATAATGATGTCACTTACATTCTCCAATTATAATATACCTCAAAAATAATATTATTACTAAAATATGTTTTAAAATCTAGGCATCCATCACAACAAAAATAATCTTCATTATATTTTATGGGATGAATAAAATATGTTATAGTCAACTGATCAACAATTTGGATTTTGGACTGTCATTTGTGACACAGTACAATCGTGACAAGTTGACTAATAGGAGAGCAATTAAAAAAGATTTTTATTAGTCAAACCTTACAAAAATTAAGATTTATAAATAAGCGGAATTCGTCTTTGTTTTTGAGTAATGTTTTGATTATTTTGCACATCGAATCTAGCATATTTTCAATTCGATTTTTGCCAAAAGATTTTAATTGAATCATTGACTGAATGCAAATGAGCTATTAATTCTTCATCCGATTACCTTTAAAAAATTATTCATATCCGAAAATCCTTCATTCCAAACATATTTTTCCTATTGCAATTGAGACATTTTAAATTAATTAATTCTCTTAAAAGAGAAGAAATTTTTTATTTAAAAAAAGAAGTGATAAAAATATAACGTAAATAATTTTTTCTTTTTTTATTTAAAAATAAACATTTTTTTATTTGCTTCCATAACGCTCATTTTTTGAATGCTAAATTTCACAACATTCACATAATTTTTTCTTCATTTATTAAAAAATAAGGTATTTTATACATTTTCCAATTTTTATGATGATTTTTTTCTTTTATTTATTTTAAAAAATAAATTTGCTTCCCTTAATAATATTCATTTTTTAACGTAGTTAAAATAATAGTAAATTTTTTAGTATAGTAAAGATAAAGTTAATTTTTTGATAAGATTATGGTTTGTGAGCTTACCATTGGATATGTTTTATTTATTTATCTGTCATATGTTTGGTTGAATTTTATTTATTTATTTAATTATTTAAATATTTTTTTGTTGAATGATATTTTTTTTTATAGAAAATTATTTAGCCCTTTTTTGTAAAAAGATAAATTAAAATGAAAAGAAAGGACAGGATTAAATTTGAGTAAAGGGAAGGGCAAATGGGTCAAAAATCTTAATGGATTATAAGGATGCCATGCCGATTTGTAATTTAGATTCATTTGATTCTGACTCAATAGTCATTAATATCTGTAACATTTTATGAGTTTTTGAAAGGATTGAGAGATTAAAATCGTTGTCAAATAAGAAAGGTTAAAATAACATGATACTAAATCAGACTAATATCCTCGATTATATATATTTTTCTATAATATTCGTCAAATCAGAAAAGTTAGAACTAAAATGATACTAAATCTTTATTAAATAATAAGTTAAAAATATAATCAAACTAATTTAATTAAAAAAAATTAAAATAATCAAAAATTAAAAATTATAATTAAGTTCGTAAAATCATCATCTCTCCTTATACAAATATCCTCGAATATATATATACTTTTCTATAATTAATTTACATAATGTTTTACAAACAAACTGAAAAAAATCTTGAACTTTCTTTAATTTGAATAATCATTCTTTTTTATTCCTCTTTCTTTAAATCATTTGCATTCGAAATTTAATTCTTTTTTCTTGAGTAGATTTGAATATCCTTCGGCTTTGTCATTTGGTTTAACAATTACAACAATATCATTATTTATTTATTTCTAATTACATATATTAAATATTTGACTCTTTATTTAAAATGTTTTTTTTTCAAATTTAGAATATAAAAATGTAAAACAAAGTATATATTCTATATATTTGTAATAGGAAATGTTTGGATAATATCTTCTAAAATATTTTTAAAGAAATTCAAAAGATTTATATTTTCTATCTTCTTTAAATAAATCTTCTATAAACTGGGACCTCCCAGAATCAATATATTTTGTTTTGAGGTCGTGCCAAAGACGCTCTATGGACTGGGAATTTATGTTTCTATTAACGGGGTCCACAAAAAAATATTTATTTCAAATAAATATTTTAAACATTTATTCTCACTATTAATAAAATTATTAAAATTTAAAAAATTATAAAAAATTTAAAAAATTATAAAAAATTCAAAAAAAAATATTTTAAAATTAACAATCAATGGTTTTCCATAATGAAAATATCATTCAACAAAAAATATTTAAAAAAATAAATAAATAGAATTCGATCAATCATACAGATAAATAAACAAAAGAGAGCCAATGGTAATGACTCACAAAATATAATCTTACCAATTTTTTTAACATTGTAAAAATAATATTCACTTTTTTAATTGTCAGATTAGTATCATTTTTTTTATAGTATAAAGATTATATTAATTCTAATTAAGAATCTTAAGAAAAATTCTAAGGGAAGCAATGCTTTCCTAGTTTCCATGGACGCTTTATCACTTTTATATTCTGTATTGAAATAGTAAAATTTAAGTGATTTTAACTAGTTGCTTATATTTGTTTAAAATTTTTTAGAAAAATATATTTTTATAATAATGTGTGATGTGTATTTTCGTAACAAGTAATAAATATATAGATGATAGAGGGCGCAAAGGAAATCCCCTTTTAATTATTTTGTTGTTCTTTTCGTAAATATTATCTTAAGCTAATAATCCCCCCCCCCCTAATTCCTCCCTTCCCCTAAAATGTATATAATATATATATGACTATAAATATAATTTTAACAATATTAAGTGAAAGTGAACAAGTTTTTAAAATTATATCATTGAATATAATTTTAGAACTATGTGCTTGTTACTGTTAGTGATTTAGGTAATTCAAATTATTTTTAAAATTTGATAAATTTTGGACAGTTTCTCTGTGTCAACCCAGAATTTGATATAATATTTGAAATTTAGCTTTCGGATTGATTTATATATTTATCCATTCTTTAATGGCTCTCACACAATTCCTTAATTGCAATTGGGTAGGAAATTAATGATATCTATTTTTTATGAACGATAAGGGTGTATTTTGAAATCGTCTTTCATCTTATAACCTATTAAGTTTCGATAAACATATAATAAAAATATTTTTTATTTAGATATCCTTATTTAGGGGTATCTTTCTAAAAAATTTAAAGAAAATATTATTACATATTAAATTTACTTACAATGAGAATTTTCTAATAAATCTAAGACATTACAAATATTTAATTATACAAGTCTATATGTAAAACTAAACTTGTTATCTATGCCAATCACTTTATATGTATAAGTAAGATGGTACATTTGGGGAATTTTCTTTTCAGATGGAGAAGAGTTCGGTTTAAACCTAATAGACCATCAAGAAAATGCTTAGGTCATAGATTCTTTAAAAAACAACAAATTTTGAGAATTTCAAACGTTATTTTTAAAAATTGATTTTTTTTAAATATGTAAATTAGCGTTATCATGGTAGAGAAAGAAATTGTTATGGGGTTGCTAAAAGAAGAGTTAGTAGACAATTAGGACAAGAAAGTAATGGTCGTCAAATTTTACATAGGCATTTGAATTTGGTATTATTTAAATTTTATTAATAAAAAATTAATTATAATAAAGTTATATAAAGCTAGAGTTAGTGGTGCTTTATTTGATTATAATATGAGTTTATATGAATTTACTGCTGGATTAAGAAAGGTATTGATTTATCTATATTAAATATAATAAATTTTGAAGTCCAATATTTTATTGAATTTCAAAGCAATATCATTACTTGCAATCTATGAACCACTATCATTTAAAGTAAATTTAATTAGAATTTTCTTATATTTTCAAAAATATAATAGAGTTTAGTTAAATTATCACAAAGAGTAGTAGCAGATGCTGGCTTAAAAAGTGCTTTATGGACTCCACCAGAAGGTGTATATATAAGAAATATGAATTAATATGCATTATACTATCTTCAATTTTACAAATAAAACCTAAAAAAATCTAGCTGGTCTTCTTTAAAATAAATGAAACTTTAAATGATATCTATTTATGTTGTATATTTTAATAAAATACATATTTTAGAGAGCTATCTCAATCGAATTTAAAGATTTATGCATTTAAAGTTGGAAATAACAACTCATGATTTCATTTAATCCAATTTATTAAAAAATATTTATGTTAGATTCTAAAATTATATATTATTTTGTAGCAATTAAAAATATCAAAAAATTCCTAGTGTTTATTAATCCAAACTCAGATTACTGGCTTTTTAGCCCTAACCAAAGAGGTTTATTTTAAAAAAATATTAGTCCTACAGGGGATCCAACAAAAGAAAAAAATTATAGTGGCTTATAGATCTCAATAGCTAATCACTTACCAGAGCAATTTTTGTTTATTTTAAATATAAATTTATAATTTAACACTATATTTAAAAATTTTGTATTACCATTTTTTTAGTGCCAATCAGAGCTTTATATGCACATCTCTTCGTTTATTTAGCCCTCAAAAAAGTCTTCAATATCCTAGGGCAGGTTTTGGGCAGCATCCAAACTATTTTTCAGGTTTCTGATTCATATTTTTTTTAAAATATATTTGTCCAACTGATCTGATCCAACTTTTTCCCAAGGTCTAAGTCTTATCTGGTAAGTATTAAGAAGAATTATATATTTAAGAAAAATAAAATAATTGAAATTTTATCATTAGTAAGGAAATAGTCTAAGCTTGTTATTCAAACAAGCAAATATAATATTTATTACAATATTATAGGCATATTTTTATGAAACATAATGGTATTGATTATAATATAATGCCCTCTATGTTATATGTTTTTATTTGAAATCGAAATTTGCTTAGATTAAATTATAAAGGCTGAGTTTTCAACTTCTTGATCTTCAAGTTTGTCTTAGTTTCCAAGAAAATGAAGTTCTTAAGGGTTGATTCAGGTAAAGAAATTAAAAGATAGAAAAACATTTAATGGAATTTCATAAAGGTTCAGTAATTATCTTTTATACAGGGTATATAGTATAAATATTTTTAATCTTATTTTATGATAAATAAAAAGGAATATGAAGAAAAAAAGCTAAAAAATATAATTTTTGCAGCAAACCTTCCTTATTATTATAATTTTTTTTTATAAAATCCTTACTAAATTTTTAAACAACCTATATTTTTTAAATTTACCTTTATTTATAAAATCTTTTTTAATATAACTTACATTTAATATATTTATTTATTGTGGCTTTCGTTCTCTTCGCTACACTGCACACGGTACGATTCCCAAACAATTTATTTTAAATATAATAGTTATATTTCTCATATTTAAATAAATATATTATGCTAAGCTGACCTATCTCATATTTTACTTTCGTCAAGATTGCGATCATTTTGAGATCGCAGCATATCTTAAATTCGTAAATGGAATAATTTATATTTGACAATAAATATTTCATATGATTCATTAAACTGGTTGGAATAGGCGATGGGAATTGATGGCTTAGAATTTTCGTTATGAAGCAAAACTGCTTTCAAGCTGTTTTTGCTTGAATCGATGAACAAGCGCCATTCATCGGGCACCAATTCAATATTAAGTTGTAAAAAAAAGTTGACTTAGTTTGTTGGAAAGTATAAAATTTTTTTATAAGAGAATAAATTTTTAAACGATGCTCCACGGAATCGGTATGAAGTTCGAACTCCATTTTTTTTAAATTTTAAAATCATTAAGCCTTGAGGCTAAAAATTCGGACTTTCATTTTGGGTTATGTCATTTAGTTGCTCTTGTGACATAAATGGCGAATCCTCTTCGGGATGATACTCAAGATCAATATTGTCATTGTCCTGGCAACGTAATTTTTCCAGCTGCGAACTATTAAAAAAGGAACTGTTGTATGCATATTATATTTTACTGGATAAACAACCGACAAAATTTCAGGATAACGAATTTTCTTCTTATTTTTTTTGTTAAACCCAAATGTACTAATCGAGCAAAAATATCAATCCCACGAATGATTTCTTGCTACGTGTGTAAAATGCAGGTTTCGAATAAGGCAAATATGACCGTTTTCCATTTACCCTTGAATTAAAAGAATTATAACATGTTTTACATATGTAATTAGGGGCAAATGGTTTATCCAAATAGCAGAGTGGAATATTGTAATAAATTTCATAAATCCTTTGAATGATTGGAGAAATTGGACATTTTTATGCGGGCAATATATAGCCCGCACAGATGTAACAAAATTTAGAGACGCATTTTAAACAAGGGGACTTCGGCATTAATTTTTTGTAGAATATTATATAAGGAGGGAATTTGAATAATATTTAAAATCAATTTTAAAAAAAAATTAATGAAAGAAATTAAATGTTTATGAAAAATTAAGCGCGAAAAAGAATAATTCTTCTCCTTTCTTCCTAATTGTTATGGCGGTACTCCATTGGAAAATCATATATTTTGATATAAATTGATTAAAAAAGCAAATATTCTTAAATACATCTAAAAAAGATAAATATTAATAAAAAAATATGAAAAATTTCCAATTATTGCATTTTAAATGAATTTTGCTTCAAAAATGCTCAATTCAAAAAGAGTACAAATTAAAAAAGTGGGTACATATATCTGATTTTGGTATAAATTGATCATAAATGCATAAAATATTACTAAATACAACTAAAAAAGATAAATATTACCTTTTTGTTGCTTTATGCAGAGAAAATTCAATAAAAGTGTACAAATTAAAAGTTCGAAAATATCTGTACCGACTTTTTTAATTTATAGATTTTGATTGAATATTCATGGCATAGAGTTGAAACATAATTAGAATTAATATATAATCTTGAGCATATTTGAAGCAAAATTATATAAAATTTATCTTCTAAAGTTAATAATTTTGATATAATTTAAATTGAAAACTTAAGACCCCCAAAACGAAATTACCATTTTTCTCAAAAACCAATCGATAAAAAATTAGTAAATTTATAAAGAAATATAAGTTTAACACTATCACCAATTATCAGGGATTTTTTCGATACTTTTTAAAATATATCCGTATAAAGACCTAAATTTTACCATTTTTGAGATTTCGAAAAGTTGTCTTTATACAGTAATATTTTTAAAACCTGACGTGTAGGGAAAATTTGGAAAACGGATTAGAACTCAGCGTCAAATTCTGCACCAAAACTTGTTTTTATTTTCTTCTCCCATTTTTCGTGTCACACAGTGTAATTAAAGGGCCTTTCTTAATCTGTAAATATTTTATTTTTAAAAAAATTTATAAGCCTGATATATTTTTAACATTATAATAAAGTTACAGATTATTCAAAGATTGGAATCAGGGAACCTGTCAAATTAAGAACCAAAATTTTTTAGGAAAAAATTTAGAATTTAATTTTTTTTTTCATGAATTATATCACAACTGAGCATCAGTAATAACAAATGTTTTAATTGTTATTTTTAAAAATTTAATCTGATATTTTCTTAATTAAAAAAAATACAGCAAAATCTTCAGGCTCGCATAATATTTTTTTGGATAAAATATTGAGTGCAATATTTTTTTAACTAAAACAAGTTGTTTTTAAAATTAGGCTCAAATCGAGCCATTTAATAACACTAATAATTTTGTTTATTTTAAGTATTAGTCTAATAGTGTTTAATCCCAATTCTTAAAAACGGCTGAATTAATACTCCCAAACGATATTATCTACACTCTGATATAACCAGAAGGTATGGCTTCTTGAAATCTCGATTTTAGCTATAATATTAGCTACGCCTTGAGATAACCGAGAAGAGAAAGGTATGACTGTCTTGAAAAAATATCGAAAGGGTAATAATTTTTTGGCGAAAATCTTGATTTGATTATTTTTTAAAAGGCTTTTATCAACACTAAAAATAAATAAAAGAAAGCAAAATTTAATTTATTGTAATGTTTTCAAATTATTTTAAAATGTGTTGCTCTCTTTGTTATATTATATTATTTAGAACAAGAAATTAGAAAATATTTAATGAATCACATGATAATTGTCCATATGAGATGATTAAATTAGGGCTAATAAAAAAACAAAATACACTTAATTATATATGACAATGCACCATCGCCTTATTATAAACGGAAAATTTCAGCGTTTCTTATTTTGTCTATAGCATAAAAGTTATTTTTGCATAGAAAATTTAAATTGACTCAAATTGATTACCTATATAATTAAAATATAAAATACAATTAATTTAATAATTTGTAAATATATGAAATTGAAAATATTTGATAATATATTACAAAATTTATCTGCAATTGATATTTATAAAAATTAATTAAGCCAGTTTCCAGTTATCTAAAGAGCTTCCTGGTCCCTATGCTTTAATAAGACCTGTGCGCCGATGTCTCGATCAACGGCGGCGGTTTCTTAAAATTTTTTTATCGGCGTTCGGCAGCGCGCCGATTTCGCCGCCGTCTACTAAATTATAGGCGGCGGCGGCACAATATTTATTTTAAAATTTTTTTAATGAATTTAATTAATAAATCAATTTATTTTTTAATAAATTTATAAATTAATGTATTACATTTTTTATAATTTATTTGGACATAGTTTAGTTGATCTTAAATTATTTCCTGTCTCACTCCAATTTAAATTTATGTATTTTCTCATTCTCAGAAATAGACTAAGGAATTGCATTACTCATATCAGAGTCACATCCAACACATATAAGAAATATTCTATTGATTTTTATTATAATTAAAATAAATTTGGATTGCAAGCAAAATATAATAAGTCAGAATTCAGATTTAGCAAAATTATAATTGTCATGAATAAACAGCAGAGTTGTTAAAAGATACTTTTTAAATGTATCACAGATATTTTAATAAAAAATCTATCTAGATACAGATACCACATTTTTATATCTTGATATAGGATCTAGATCCTTTAACAACTCTGATAAACAGTATTTTATCAAGATTTGTGGGACATAAAGAAGTTTTTTTAGCATTGAGTATTAATCCAGCAATGAATTTTTTGCTGTGCAGGTATACAATGAACCTTCCTATCTACATAAGCAAGCATAGGAAGTTTCAGTCGCTTTTTCTTCCAAAAGATTAATATGCCCTCTTCTGGGATATTATTTTGGCTGAGCAAATATGGCATTCTTGTTCTAGATTATTAATATTGTTATAATCTTTACTTGGAAGGGAATGTTTACAAGCTAATTTAGCTATATAAAGAGCTTGATGTTTGACCACTCAACTTGAATTTCACTCTGTGCAATTCTATCATGCTCTAAAAATTTTAAATGTCGAATTAAAAATTGCAATGATGTCGTAGAATTTAAATTTAAATATTCTGAAACAACTTTAAGTTTTAGAAATCTGGGATCAAGTAGCGTTGTTAATATTTAAAATATAATTTTATTAATAAAAATATAAAATAACTTGAAGTTCAGTAATGGGAAAACTATGGTCAAGCTTTTTTTCCATATTTTCTTTTAAGCATATAATATCTGAGCAATCAGATATATTGATTTGTATATAAGCTTCTATTTCACTGCGAAATAATAACCCTAAGTTTATTGTCGATCCTTTTTAAGAGGAAAGAAATTCCACCGACTCTCGGAAGGGATTTAATACTGCGTAAAGCTCATCAATCATATCCCATTCATTATTAAAGGGTTTTTAAAGATTGTTTTCCTATTTTATTTAGAACATTATTTATAGAATTTTGTTTACACTGCGAACACTTTCTGGCATATATGCTATGCCAGTAGGGCAATTTAATTTTTAAGTTTTTGAATTAATTAGATTGGTTGGTGTAATGTCATTTCTATTATCCGATTCATCAGACATATCAAAATGGTCATCAAGGTATGGATCAGAATAATTAATATCCAAGATATTACTTGTCTCATAAATTGACTGCAGACTTTACGATGTTCAGCCTCAATTTCACATTCCAAATCTACTCGATATCTAAGGGCTGAAATATTTCTCTAATTTTTTAAATGAGAATATCAATTTTGGTAACTTTTTTATGCCATCAACTGTAACCAAATTATGAAGTCCATGCCCTAAGCATAAATGATGCTCATAATTCCCTAATCTGCCGCTTCTTTTGACATTAGTTATATTTTCCCAAATTTAATTACTAACTTAACTAGTTACAGTTACATTGCCAAAATAACTTTTAACAACAATCTATTTTATTTTTTATTCTTATCTTTAAAAATAAATTTTGCTAATTCCTCACAAATCATGTCAAAATTTTGTTCTACCATTAATTCTTCTAATAATCGAAAAACCTTGCAAAGATAATCAAACACTGCGCCGATTGCAATAATTTTCTTACAATAAAAACTACCCAATTATTCGCTTATATAAGGTAATTCTAATATTTAATATTATTTCAAATACTGTAATTTTTCTTTCCCTATGACTATATAAGAGCCTAAGTATTAATTACACAAAAATGTTATATATTATATAGATATAACATTTTTTTATCTTTAAATAAAATTCTTTATAAAATAATTCTCTATAAAATACAATCTCTATAAAATTATTCTCTATATACATTCTCTATAAAATACATTCTCTATAAATCATTCTCTCTCTATAAAATCATTCTATATAAAATTATTCTCAATAACATTATTTTCTATAAACGACATTCTCTATAATTGTTCTCTCTAAAATATAAACATCATTCTCTATATAAAACTTTTCTATAAAATTTTCTCTATAAGCGACATTCTCTATAATTGTTTTCTCTATAAGTGCATTCTCTATTTTAGTTTTCCTTATAAAAGTTTTTCTGTAAAATACATTCTCTGCAATGTAGTGGAACCATAAAAATAGAGGTATTGACATTTTTTTATATGGTGTTCGAATTGAATGAGAACAAAATATTAAAATGTTGTTTACGTATTTTGTGCTCTAAGGGTTTATATTCGAGAACAAAAGCGAACCCTGTATATAAGTAAAATAAAAATTGTATCTATATCTAGACACGTATTTAGACGATGTATCTGTATCGGTATCTAGTTCCATTAAAAAAAGTATTTTTAACAACTCTGATAGGTAGTATAGGTATTCGGGTTGCTCTCCATATTATCTTCGTACAGGGAAGAAGCGAGGAATTTATTACTAGGGAAGCAATGGACCTTTTATTTTTATTAAACAAACCATACAAAATATTAAGATTATAAATGAGCGGAACTCGTCTTGGTTTTTGAGTACAAGATTTAAATTGTTAGATTTCAATTTTTTTTTCAATTGAAGTATATTGGATAATCGATAAAAAATTTTATACTTTTTAAATAATAAAATCCCGGATCTTAGCTTGCGGTTGATGAAGACAAAGAGGTTAAAAATTTTTGATTTCTTTTTCAAGTTTTGTAAAGTTGGTGTTGTTCCTTTTTCTAGACAGTTTCTTTATAGTTTATATCAAAATATTTCGAGCTAAAAGATAATTTTAATAAATTTTCAAGAAATCAATTATTGTTTTAAAAAGAAGATTTTTTTTTTAAAAAGGTTAAAAATAAAATATAAAGATTTTTCTTTATCTTTCAGTTATTAATTAAAAAATGCTTTTCTATTTGCCCCAACGCTTATTTTTAAATATAAGATTACACAATTTTCATTTATCTTCTGATTTTTAATAAAAATATTTCGTTCCCCAATGTTTATTTTTTTTAAAGTAATATAAAATTACACCATAAGCAATTTTTTTCTTTCATTTAATTTAAAAAATATGCAAATTATGTGATACGTGATTTATAACGCTTATGCCCTCTGTCGTTGAACATTCAACAGAGCTATGCTAGGTATTTCTCATTTTATCTAGCTGGATTAAATTAAGCTAAGTGAAAAATTAAAAGTTTAGAGCCTTCTACATGTTTGTGGGCAAGCCGCACGTACTTGTAGGCACAACAGTTCGAGAACTATTATTTAAACGACCATAGGCTAAAAAAAAAGAGTTTGACAAAACAAAAGCCTATACCCGAGAACTTAAGTATAATTTATTACGGGTGGGAGGTGGCTGTAAGTTTAGATTCCTTAGTGCAAGCTTAAAATGATTACTATATTAATATCATAAACGTATTTCATAAGGGGGAAGACCACATTTGGAGCGGGCCTTCGGCCCGCTTTTGCCAGGCCTTCGGCCGGGTTGCCTTAGCTATATATAGTCATAAAATATTGTTACAAGATAGGAGGTTAATTTTAATAAAAAAAAATAAGCCTGGAACAAATATGAAATAAATTTTTATTTTTTTATTTGTTTATATATAATAAATTCATTGTATATACATTAATATAAAAGCATGGTAATAATTTATTCCAAACAAGTATAAGAAATTTATTTATAAAAAGTTAGTAGACATATAGTTGATATTATTTTATTATATAGAATTAATTACAAAATACTTAGTAAAATCCCACTTTTACAGACATATTTAACAGTTAGAGAATATATTATAGTTAATATTTTAACAAATTTTACTAACAATGCTCTTAATAATAAATATTGCAACAATTTGCGTTTAATTATTTAACGCCATCTATTTATTTTAAATAACATGTTATATTAAAAATTAATCTTTGTATTATTCTTCCCACAATTTCTTTTAACGATATTTTCTGATGTCCTTATCAATATTTTATATTTTCCTGTAAAATATATAATTCGCTATATTGGTAGAAATTACTTGATTGTCTTGTAATTGATAAAATATATGAACTTTTGCATTCCTTCTTTCAGATTATTGTTTAAGATATATGCATACATTTTTGGGGGTCAGGGAGTGAGGGGAGGACTAAGGGAAATATTTTTTATTAGCTTGAAATGATATTCACAAAAGGTGATAAATTTCTGAAGGGGGGGGGGCCCACCTGGCTACGCCTATGGTTAATATCTATTGTATTTCGATTTATTCTTGAAGAACAAAATTTAATATATATTATTTAACTTCTGGTTATATAAGATTCTCAATTTTAATATTCTACTTGAATTAACATGGTTTTTAATCTTTTTGTTCTATTATTTGCATTTGTAACATCCACTTGCACCGGAAAACCGAACCTCAATTTTAAATTTACTTGTCGCATAATTTTTTTACTAGTAAAATAATAACGCAGTAAAATAATAACGAAGTAAAAATAATATCTTTTTTTAACGTAGTAAGAAATCGTGTTGTTTAAGAGTCAAGTTTTTACGACTCTGATTCCCATATGTTGAACCTTAGAAAATATTTTACTTTTTGATAATTTATATTATACAATATTTTATTTAAATAATATATTAGATTGCAAAACTCTCAATACCATCAACTTATTCAAAGGGTGAGTATTACCAGTAGAACCATTAGTAATTATTTATCAAAAGAATACATTATTTTCCAATGTTAGACACTATCAGATATTTAACTTTTTGATAATTTATATTATCAACAAATATTGCATTAAATCTCCTTACAATGAATCTATTCAAAGGGTGTGCAGTTCTTAATGTAATCTACCAATAGAACAGTTAATAGTTCTTCATACAATAATGGAAAGCATTATTCCCCTATGTTAACATTTATTTATATTAATACATTACTACTAACGTATTTAATACAAATAAAAATAATTGGTTATATGATTTTTTGAATGTTCCAAAAATAAAATATGGTAAGGGTATCAAGTTCATTTTTTATTGTAATAATTTTAAGCATTGTATATGAATCAGTATATCACATTTATGTAGTGCTGTAAAAGTTACTACAAAAAAGAAACGCGTTACCGGTACTCGTTACATTTTCAAAAAAGGAACGCGCGTTACCGATTTTCCAAAAAGTAACGGGCTACTCGTTACTTAAAAAAATTAAATATATACAAAAATATTATTTATTTTTTTCCGACAATTATAATAAAATAAAACTAAACAAAAAGAATATATAAGATCGTTTTATGAAAAAAATTTTTCATATATATAATTATAATATAAATAAAATTATACAAAAATAATATATTCTAATATAACATTTTTATGTATCAATTTTTTTTATATTTTAAGCAACAATTGATTTCAAAATTTTGATCAGACAAACAAGAGCGCTTAGTGCTCAACACAGCGTTAAATATAGGAATGTTATATATATAGTATTTTAATAATAAATAAAATCTATAATGAAATTCTCTGTAAAATTTTATTATTGGATAAATCCTGACTACGCCACTATTCCATATATATTATTTAAACAAAGTTATTAAATTATTCTTTAAATTTATTAACAATTATAGTCAAACCAATAGCAATACTAAAACAAGAAATAGAAGATATTGTTTAAAAAACTTAATATAACATTTTGAACCAAAACCAATATTTTGCTAATCTTGGGTTTTTAATGTTAGTTCTAGGCCCAATACTATGGTATTATTTAATTTCTTATATTTAGGGCTGTGCCGATCCACATATTTGTCACCGATCCGATCTGATACTGATCCGATATTTATATTGATTTTCACCACCCCCCTTTGAACCGAATGTAATTAAGAAATCAATATTTTTTATGGAAAAAATTAAATTATGCATTTAATTTAATTTCTTTATTTCTAGAAAAACATCATTTTATGTTGGTATTATTTGTAAAATTATAAAATTGTAATATTTGATATATAAAATTATAATATATTAGATTTTTTTAATAAATATGAGAGCCTCTAAATTTTCTGGCAATAAGCTTCTACGATATGAACTATCTATATCCCCTGCTGTACTGAAGGCAGACTCATATGATTCCAGTGTAAACGCATTTTGCAAAATCTATGTCTTTTATAAAATATTTCCAAAATTCAGATACCATATTTAAAAAAATTCTTTTATTTAAAGTATAATTAAATAGGCGTTATTTATAAAAATATTTAAGATAAATAAAACTTTGGGTGTTCCTTTCTATTTTTATAAAAAAAACTTTTAAAATACTATAAATCTATTTTAAAAAGAATAAAATTTAGAGGGTGTTGTGCATTTGCATTGTTTAAAAAAAATTATTAAAAAAATATTAAAATAACATAAAATAAATATACATAATATAAAATAACAAAAAAAAGAAAGGTAATAAGATAGGATCGGTTTTTTACAGGTATCGGCCCGATCCGATATTTAATATCGACACAGCCCTATTTATATTTTAATTCCATGATTAAACTTTTCAAAATATTATGAAAGAATATTATTCTATTATTAAATTAATCTTTTTACCTATGCTTTTAAAGTTTGATCTGCTGGATATTGAGGTTGAAATATTTACGTTGGGATATAATTTACATTTACAAAGTGTAGACTTGGTACCATTAATTTTCTTTATTGGTTTTAAATATATCAAATTGGGGCCAAGGAAAGGTTAAATCATCACCATCTGAAGAAATAAGTACTATGGACATAATATTCATAAAATAAATTATAAGAATATCAATATCATTATTAACATTTACTTTGAATTTTGATTGATTGTTAATTTCGACAGAAAATTTAACGAGAATTTAAAATAAAAATGAAGGAAGTGGTTGATATGAATTAAAACTCAGCTTAAATTATTAATATTAAGAATTAAAAAATAAATAAAGCTAATTTTATAATACAATAAAATATATTTTTCTTTATGTTGATATTTTTTAAGTAAAAATATAAAGTAACGAGTAACGTTTTGCGTTACCGTTACTCAAAAAAAAGAAACGCGTTACCGTTACCTCAAGAAGGTAACGAATGGCGTTCCTTTTCTTCAAAAAAAGTAACGCCGTTAGTAACCACGTTACTATTGTGATGTTACTTCACAGCACTACATTTATCTTGCACCATTTGCAACGGCCTTGACAAATAGCTTTATTTGACATATGAATTCTATATATCAGAACCAGGAATTTGTATTTTTATAAGTACTTCGATTGTGTCTTGGTTCGACTTTCCAAATAACCGGCTATATAGCTTCGATTTAACATTCTAAAAAGTATGAGAAAAATAAATATAACAATGCCACCAAACACTTAAACTAACAAAAAATAGGGTGTCCTATTTAAATATCTAGCCTAGGCTAAGTAGAAAAAAGTCGAACCAGGGCACGGCCTGAGACATTTAATAACCACTTTTTTAATTTCAAATTAAATATTTGATTATTTTGATATATTATTCGGTAACTCAATGAAACTCGGGAAAATTTTTAATATTTTTTTTTATTAAAAAATAATAATGCGATTGCACAAATCTTAAAATTTAATATATTTTCAAGTTATAACAAAATGAAAATGGGTATGATCATTACTCGGTCAATCACAAGAAACTTTAGACCTAAATGATATATCGACCCATATTTAACGTATTGAGCGTTTATGGAGGGATCTTAAGACGAGCATCCCCAGAACTGGAAAAAAATCTTCCTCTCACATTTATATATATATAGAATTCTTATTTACGTAATATTAAAAATGTCAAATTTAAATAAATTTTTAAATGATACAAATTTATATATAACTATTTACGTTTTTCCTAAAAATTATATATATATTATCTATATTCAAATAAATTGCTTAATTATCTAGTATTTGATTTAATAGTCCTAACTTAGTATCATCCAATATAGCACATGCCTTAATAAACATTTAAAATAATATAATCTATTTTTAACGTAAAAGGCGTGTGCAGTATTAAATGCTACTAAGTTTGGGCTAATTTTGAGTACCAAGGTCTGGCCCAGTTTGTGAGTATCAGTTCTGTTTAGACCACCATATGTAAAGAATAAGGTGAATTCAGTTTCTGTATGCAAGTCCTTACAAATACAATTAATTAAACCAAAGGAGATAAAAAAAAATAATCAATCCCAGGATAAGTTAAAACATTGGTCAAATGCCCCTTAGATTAGTCATCAGCCCTTAATTTATTAGGCCTATATTAGGTTAATTATTTTAATATAAAGGTAAGGTAAATTGATATCCAATATGTGATTTTAATAAAAATTTATTTGTCATATTTACAAAATTAAAATGATCTAAAATAAATAATAATAAAATATCATAAAAAATAATATATAAAAATATATATTAAAAAATTATAAATGCGGAAAATGCATATTCAATGTGGATAATACAAATTTCATACTCTATCTTGTAATTCTAAATATCTTTGAGCATTAAAAATATTGGCAATTATATACTAGATAGAATATGCTAAGTAATAGCACAACAATGGTTTTTAGTTGATTTATATTTGGATTTAGTTTGATGATGATAATTACAATTCCAGCAAATTTGTTCCTCACAAGTTTGACAGCATAAGAAGAATCCACTAATTTTGTGGCTTTTGGGGGGTTTAAAACTCATTTCTCGAACAATTTCAGCAAATACATCATTAACATTATGTGTAGTTTTAGCAGAAGCCTCAATAAATGGGCAATTCCAAGTTTCAGCTAAGTAAGCCCCTTCACTTGATGGTACTTCTCTCAAATGTGGTATATCAGACTTATTACCAACTAATAAAATTGGTACAAATGTATCATCATTGCCACCTTTTACTCTAATAATTTGATCCCTCATACTTTTGATATCACGAAAAGTTTGTGAGCTGGTAATACTGTAGACTATAACAAATCCCTGACCATTTTTTATATATAAATCCCTCATCGAAGCAAATTGTTCAGTACCAGCAGTGTCTAAAATTTCTAATAAACATGGTGCATTATCAACTTCAATTTCTTTGCGATAAAAATCTTCAATAGTAGGATCATATTTTTCCATAAAGGTACCTGTTACGAATTTAACAGTTAAGGCTGATTTTCCAACACCTCCACTGCCTAAAACTACAACTTTGTATTCTCGCATATTTAAATTACCAAATCTTTATGACCGAAAATAGGTAAAACTTCGAAATATCATATCTTAATAAAAAATTTATACTAATAAAAATATAAATATATTTACCAAAGGGTGTCATAGTTTGGTGTTATCGAGTATTAGACCGTTAAAGTAAGCACATATGGTAAATGAAAAATGATAAAAGGTTTGTCACGAGCAAACTAAATTCTTTTACAATTATGCAAATTAAATTTAATTTTTAAAAACTGAAAAATTTGCAATAATATTGGAAGAAATAATTTAAAATTTTTCATTTAAATATTTTAGATTATATTAAATACAATTATTAATAACGTATATAAACTTAATATTTCTAATCTAATAATTATTTGGTATAATATTAAGGTTAACTAAGGAAAATATAAAGAGCGTAGTTTTCTACTAATAAATAAAAATGGTGTTATATTATTTGGTAATGGTCAATATATAATTAAATGTTTATTTATTACTGTCTATGGCGTTATGTTTATATTGTACTGTGTTAATTGGACATTAGTTTATGTTAAATTGATCTGACATAAGTTTATTTCAAAAAACTAAATATATATATATGAATTGTAAAAATAAAAGATTATTATTAAACTTATTAAATAAAATTAGATTTTATTTTAATGCAATTTTAATTCGATTATAATCTCTATCGGTGTAACATGGTGGAGGATAATAATTATATCAAAGTCAAAGTTCTAAACATTGGACCTGAAATTCTTAGCGGTGAATATTGTTTGTGAAGTCACAAGAAATATAAACTGTTCAAAACAATTAAAGAGATGGCTATTAGAATTATGGATAATATGGACAATTTATCGTATCAAATAAATGATATAGTATAATAAAAGGTTGAAAAAAAAATACACGTATCTTTGAATTTTAATCAAAACCTGACAGGTTGGAGTTCCAGAGAATATCCGATCGACTTAAAAGCTGTGGTTCGGGGCTGAATACGGAATCTCTCTGAATAAAAAACTTAAAGTAAGATTGATAGAGGATAATAAGACAGATCTAAACATTATTGATGATATTGTGGTCAAATATCAATCAATGGGAATAACTGATAATAAAACCTGCGCAGAGAAAGATTTACGGAGAAGAGATGATGGAGTGAAATGGCAAAATAATTCGGTATCGAAAGAAAATAAATATGTTTTTAAGGGGACCGACACAATAACAACATAAAAAAAAATATTATACAGATACCGTATAATCTGAGGCCAAGAAATAAAATATATTTTATGAATGATTTTATCATTGGTATGCAATTAAATAATCATAATTTTTTGTTTTTGATAGATATTGGTTCTCCGATGACTTACTTGCCGTTGAAAAATTTGGAAAAGTTTACGAATCATGAAAATATTGAGTTGAGAAGTTCTAGGAAATATTCTCTTATTAAGGTTCTCCCATCACAGTAGTTGGGAAAGTCATTAATAGTAAAGCTAAATACTTAAATATTATAAAATAGTTAGATTTTTATGTATTAGATGGGGAGGGACCACTCTTATGTGGTCAAGATTAGATTAAAGAATTTGATATAATCGAATGCAATTTTGATATTAACAGTTTAATAGGCAAGAGATAGGTGATAAATTAAATTTAAAAAATTTTTAAATTTGTTTTCATATAAGGATATTAAATACTTGTGAAAGTTTAAACATGTTCAACTAAATTACAATGGGTGAGATTGGATATTAAAAGAATAAATTGTATAAAATTAACTTTAGATAACTCATTGTTTGTATGGGCTCATATCAAGATAGGCTTGTGGGGACTGTCATTGGGAGGATCAGTAATGTCATATGGGAGATCAAGATAGAACATAAGGTTGTGATTGCTCACACCAATCAAATAAGAGATATTTGATAAACTTGTTAAATGTTCAATTACTAACCAATAAATTGTCGGTTGCTGTTTTTGTTGTTGAAAGTATTAACCAAGATTTTATAATGCATTTGTACCTGTTAATTTTACAATTATATATAATTGCAATAATTCTCTTTCCCATTATATTTATTTCACTTCTTTCCAATATTATAATGTATCTATTGATTATATTCTAAAAACAAGAAGACAACTAATAATGCATTAATTCCCTTTCCCATTACATTTATTCAGATCCCCATTGTAATGTTTGTATTCCAAAGTAAGGAAAGAAAATATTATAAAAATACATTTTTTCCCCTCCTTTCCCCAATTTTAATGATTGTATTCCAAAAGGAAACAACAATATTAGAAGATAAATTCCCCCCCCCCCCTTCCCCATTTTATGATTGGATTCCAAAGAAGTAAACAACAAATTCCTTAGTCCTTCCATTATAATGTATTCATAGATTGTATTCCTATATTAAGGATACAACAATATTAGAAAGACACATTTATTCCCCTCTTCCCTCCTTTTCCCAATTATTATGATAAGGAAACAACAATATTATGAAGATACATCCCCCCCCCCCCCCCCATTTTAATGATTGGATTCCAAAGAAGTAAACAACAAATTCCTTAGTCCTCCCATTATAATGTATTCATTGATTGTATTCCTATATTAAGGATACAACAATATTATAAAGACACATTTATTCCCCTCCTCCCTCCTTTTCCCAATTATTATGATTGTATTCTAAAATAAGGAAACAACAATATTATAAAGATATATTTCTTCCTCTCCTTTCCCCAATTTTAATGATTGCATTCCAAATAAGGAAGCAACAAATTATAAATTATGCAATTTTTCCCTTTCCCATTAGATTTACTTCCCTCCTTTCCAATATTATAAAGATACAATTATTTTTTCTCTCATGCCAACCGAGCTCTCCACTAGCATTATTTTAGTTACTTCATCATAAATTATGTTATCACTGTCATATATATTATTTAGATTTGAATGGTATTGGATTTTGGAGATTTTTTTTTATTAAATTTTTTTCTGTGGTAGCATGTTATGTTATCTGGTTTAATATTTATTTTAATGTTTATTTATACTGTTTAAGGCGTTAGGTTTATATTGTATTATGTTAAGTGGACATAATTTATGTATTGATTTGAAATAAGTTTATTTCAAACTATATATATATGAATTGTAAAAACAAAAGATAATTATTAAACTTATTAAATAATTTAATTCGATTGCAATTCTTATCGGTGAAGGAAGAGTTTAAAGTGCACATTTCATATTTAATTTGTAGCACATCCCCTAATTATTGTTAGTTTATAATTTTTGCCATTGAATTTACTTCCCATTTTTAGATATATCTAATATTAGTTTGATTAAAATCTTTGTAATATATTAGAGTCCATAATTATATATAAAAAATTATATGCATATTATTTATAGAAATCAAACTTTTAATATGGAAGAATATATAATTTGTACATAATATTTATTTATATACTAAATTTTTTATATTTATTATTAAGATGATCAAGAAACTCATGCAATAATATAAAAAAGCATAAAATGCAATATAAAAAAAGAAGGAAATAGGAACAATTATCTAAATAATCTTAGTGTCTTTTCAAATAATATAATAATAGTGATTATAATTAAAGTATTTTCAATAGTAATGAGAATTATAATAAAGGGTTAAGAGGATTTTAAATTCGTTTGATTGAGAACACGTCGATTATGTTATTTATGCAAAGCGCCTGTCAAACGGTTTAATTAGGGTCGATTTTTAAAGACTGCCTGATCAAGATTTTAACCAAAAAAATATTATGTAAGTCTCGAGATTTGGCAAATAGAGGTCCATATATGAGAAAATCCCCAGTTCACATAAAATTATTTTGGCTAAAATCTTAATCGAGTTTTTAAAATTGACACAAATAGGGCTTTTCATCAACACTACCTCCCGTTATAGACTTATTTAAATAAATTGAATGTAGTATATATCGATTAATTTAGGTTGATTTTTTTAAAAAAATAGAATGAAATATATAAAAAGCGAAAATAATAAAATAAAATAGAAAACACGAAAAAAGAAATATAAAATAAATGTAACTAAATAAAAATGAAATATAAATAACCAAAATAAAAGGAAATGTAAACATTGTTTTAATTTATATTTAAAACTTTAAAACAGGAGATTTAATATTGAGAATCGACAATTTTAAATCTCAAAAGATGAAGAGACTTGCTATCATTTGTATGGCCCAACCCGAAATTAAAAAAATTCTTTTTTTGGCTTGGCAAGATTAATGTTTTCAGGCCCAAACACCCAGATTTTTTAAAAAAATTTTCCGTCATAATTTCTTTAATCGACCAGGCTGTTTAAATTTTTTTATGGTCGTAGTTTTAAAAAAATATTCGGCATTTTACGGATCTCAACGAATATGAAATTCATATATAATAACATTTCAAAATATCTTCTGATTTGTCGTAAAAGGTGTAAGTTTGAATCATTACACTTGCTAACTTTCTATTTAACTGGTAGATGGTAATTCTCTTACTTCCTGTTACTCTTGTAATCTAATATAGTCATTTATAAAATTATCAATCATTTTGTTCTCCCTGACAATATACGTAATTGCCTTAATTTGGGACAGAGAAAAAGAGAGATAAAATGATACTTATCTAAAATAAATTTTTCCTTTAAAAAGTAATATTGAGAATATCTTTGTTGCTTTTAATTTGATTAAATATCACCTAAAATGATGATTATAGAATTATAAATTTGATTAAATATCAACTAAATTAATGATTTTAGAATAATGAATTTGATTAAATATCACTTAAAGTAATGATTTTAGAATAATAAATTTGAATATTATTTTACTATAAATATTTTCTAAGAATCAAAAGAAAATAGGAAATATGATGAGTAAATGAATGTGATATATTATGTATGTGATATATTGTTCTATGATAACAATTTTTAATACTTTATTTATTTTTAATTTTTATATATAATAATGTCGATTTAAAATATCCAAGCTTTAAAATATTCGGGCCGGCTAGGATATTTTTTAAAAATTTTAAACCCGGCTCAGTCCGGGTATATATAAAAATAATACAGCCCAGCCAATCGGACAGGGCGGGGCTGCAGGCTCTCTGATATATATATTTATAATACGTGAACTTTTAATGTGTTATTTAATTTGAACATAATATTAATTTGCTTAATAAATTATTTATATTAATTAATGAAATAATTTGGAGACAATGCCAAAAGTTTACTCATCTACCCCCCCCCCCCCCATATAATATATTTTGCTCCATTTATGCACCTGTAGAAGCCAACCCTAGAATCCAACAGTCAGCAGCCGAGCCAGCTCATAGCCTGAGCCGTGAAAATAAAATATTAGTCAAGGGCGGCCCATATTCCTATCTTATATAATTACAGAAGTTTTATAGGTGGAACCAAATTGCGGAAGTAACTAAAGTTAACTTGCTATCCAAGCTATTCAGCAAGCAGTGAACTAATTTTTTTTCCAACTGCACATACATTTGTAAAAAAGAATGTGTATAAATCTTAATCAATGGCGGATCCAAGGTTGAATAAGGTCTTCTATAATTCTTTGACTTTCAATAAAATACACACTTTTAAAATATATATAAAATACAAATTTTAAATTTGTTTAAAAATTTTACTTTGTGGTATAAAAATGTTGACAATATTTATTTAATTAAAACAAATCCTGTGATTCATTTACTATTAAAATTGCGCTATTATTATTAAATTTTCGCCTTTTCTATTAATTTTGCCAATTTACTCTTTTTATATTAAACTTGCCCCTATTTAGCTAAAATGAACAATTAAACTTTTACTATTAAATTTGCCTTTTTCTCATTTAAGGCGAAATTACTTTAGACGAATGGCATAACCTAATTAAATTCCCCTGTCCTAGAGTGTTATTGGCTTATTGTTTAACAAGGCAAAACCAATATGGAGGGGTAATCATCTCGAAAGATTTCGTTATTAAAAATGTATTGAATATAAAAGTGTAAATTATCATTTTCTTTAAGCATAGAATATAGAAAGGCTACTTAACGATAATATTAGTGCGCTACTTTTAAATGTGGCTTTTAAAAACAAACTATATATAAATTTAGTATATTTATTTACAAGAATTTACTATCTAAATGTATAATTAAAATTATGACAATAAAATTTGATAAACGTGTGATCAACAAAATGTATCATTATAAAGTTAGTGCATATAATTTTATTAAGTTATAGTTTGTCATTTTTGGATTGGCTTTTGATTACCCTGAACTAATTTAACTAGTACCTCCTGGTAAGTACCTGTCACGTCCCCCTAAATTTATTAAAACAAATAAATTATTTATAAAAATGTGCCATAAAATTTAAAAAAATTACTTTGATGGCGTTCTCCAATGATTTTTTATACTTTTTACGATATTCATTTTTAATTTCTTCCATATCAACTTCTGATCTAGTTACCATGATCCGAGTCAAATCAGATTCTTTCGTTCCAACTCCCTTTATATTTATTAAGTTACAGTGTATAATTATAATATTTTTTGGGATATATATATTTTTGAATATAATATATTGCTTTACTGTTAGAGCGCTGTGTAATCTTGTTGCGAAATAGTTTCCAGGATTTTTGATAATATCAACTATAAAATGATAATAAAAAATATAACACATCCTAAAGTATTATAAAAGAAAAATAATTTCATGTGTCAAAGATTATGAAAAAACGTAGCTAGCAGTTAAAGTTAATTTTTGGCTTAATTGCAGGAGATATAGAGACGATATATAAGCCCAAGGTTTAGCGCGAAGTTTTTTTTATAGTATTAAACAATAATTATCATTTTTTTACCAAAAATATGTAATCATATAATGCAAAAATCTTAAAAAATTTTAGTTTTTCACTCTTTCGGGTAAAACTCAAACGTTCCCAAAAGATTTTTCCAGAACAGATAATATAAAAAAAAAATTTTTTAAAGAAAAAAAATAAATATGTTATTAGTTTGTTTTGGGGAAAGGAGTATTAAGGATATCTTGGACTTCAAAATCAAATTTTTTGACTCAATAATATGGAATCGAAAACTAAAATTTTTATTATAGTGCGCTCTGTTTGTTAACGCTGTTTAATCAAGCCATGGAATAAAGAATAAATGATATTGTTTAAAGTGACTCTATTCTATCGTTGCTTACAAATATCATATTAAAAAATGGCAAATAAGTTGTGATTCATTTTTTATTTTAAATTTTCAATATCACCCCAATTTAACAAGGCTCTGTGCGTTTAAAATATCTTTTGAATCGATATAACTCGCAATGTTCAATGTAAGTACTATTGGTCAGGTAGAAAATTAAATTTAAAATGATATTTTTCTATTTCTAATGTAATATCGAAAATTCATTACACTAATCGTAAGATGTTAATTTAATCAACTATATTAAAGACGTAATAGAGTAAAAAAAAATATTGAGAACCTAGGGGCTAGAAAAACAATATTTTCCAAAATTATACATTAATTCAAATTATTAAAATAATTTTCAAATTTGTTTCTGACTGAGGCTTAAATATTAGATAATTGTGTTTCATGTCTAATAAAGGATAAAATTTTACAAAAATTTGTAGTGTATTTATATTATGAGAAAGCTCATTTATATCAGGAGCCAAAATAGTTTTATATCACTCTTCATAGCGATGTCTCTGTTCAATTTTGATATTCCTCATTGTTACCCTGCTATCCCAGTTAGCACGAATTAGCGGTGAAATATATAAAAATACAGATATTTTGTATACTTTGCCGCGAATTCGTGTTAACTGTGAATGCAGGATTATGAATAGCGCTATGCGTTATTATTTGCTCTATAAATTGTGCAATAGTGTATAGAATAGATTTAAAATAGTGTTTTTAGCCCTATTTCTATATTAATATGAAACTAATTTTAATTTTTTAAACATTTTTTTGTGGATAACCCATATTAATATTTATGTCTCTAATATTTTAATTTCCTCTAATGTTTTAATAATAGCTATTAAATATTTGTCAAACCAAATGTCAATAAGGTTTTTTGATATTTTCCTGATGTTTCTTTCTTGATGGCGTCCTCGATTGATTGTTTCGATATTCTCTCATATTGATCAAAAATAAGCTTCAATTGATTTATGTTTCTAGTGGCCAATATATCAGTAAAAGCCTTTTCATTAGTTCCAAATAATTGTTGTATACCACCCTTTAATAATTTCTAAAAAAATATATATATTATAGATAATTTATAACTATTTATAATTCTTAATTTAAATATAATATTAATATAGTCATAAGACTTTGTTTCAAGTAATGTGGTGAGAAATTGTGGAAAATGATCATAATATACTTATATAAGTCTTTCTAGAATTAAAACTTATCTAGAATCTTTTAATGATGATCGGTGGAACATCTTTAAATTATAAATCATTTTGGAAGACAATTTTTAAATAATATGATTTTAATAAAAATTTCCATACTGGAATACATTGATAAAATCAGATTTTTAAATTTAAAAACTCGTCCTAGTATAAATGATTTCAAACTAAGATTTCATATAAATTCTAAATAAAATTAGGACATAAAGAAAATCGTTATTTTAGACATTTTTGTTGTTTCTAAAACAAATTTGATGTTAGACACGTTCAAATCAACCACACCCAGTTCGCCCTAAGTTATCAGATTGATTTTACTTAGAAAAATTTCGCATCTAACATTAAATTCGCTTCTCAAAAAATTGGCCTTGATCTGAACAGTGCTAAAATATGGGCTAGGGTTAGGTTTAAATTTTAAAATAAATGGCCAAACATATAAAGCGCTTTTATTTTAAGAAAAAATTATTATTCATGATCACATTGGATATATAGCAATAATCTGTCTATATAGCATAAAAACATATGATTATTACAATAATATATGTTATATAGTTTATATGTGGTTTGAGTAAAAAATATGAGATTAATAATAATACCATAACCCATAAATCCTAATTTATTTAAAAATTTTGGGGGAGAATAATGTTGTAATTTTAAATCTGCATTATATATTCTCAACCCTTGAAGTTGATTTGATCAAACAGATTAGCACTAAATATTAAGAGAAGATTTTAATCGTTAATTATAGTTTGTTAAAAGTTTATTATGGTCTCATTCCCTTAGAGTTTATGATTTTATTTATCAAATTTTTTATATGAAACAAAAATCATAATATAAAACTATTAAGTATAATCTTTAAATATGTAATCGGCATATAAAAGGGTACAAATTACCTCTGCATCCCTCAAAGCCGCTGCTGGATCAGTTTGCCTGGAAGAGTCCCGCTGTGCCTGAAATAATATTTCTTTAAAATATTCATAAAGTCAACTAAATTACCTGGGCAATTTTCACCAAAAAATCTTGCACTTTCCTATTTGTATCGCCTTTGATATCACTAACTATGTCCTTTTTAAACACTATTATATTTGAGTATAGGAAATTATAAATGTATTGAAAAAATAATCAAATTTACATTTCTTATATGCTTCAGTTATAGCTTTAAGTTGATTGGGCGATCTTGTTAGGAGAATTTCGATCAGCAGATCAAAATTCGTGCCAAATCCCTTAAATAATAAATTAAAATATTGTAATTTATTATTCAAATGTAAAAAGAAAGGTAATGTTAAAAGAAAATTAGTCTCTTGTGCCAATTTTGAAAGCCATTTATATATTAAACTTTAAAAGGAAAGTATCTATAGTTAAATTATTATATCATTATTAGTCTTATTCCGATGTTATATTATATTTGGTTTTCGTGTTAAAAATAAAAGCATAAAATATATCCATTAAACTTTTATATCATCATAAATACAGTTTACTATTAACTTAATCTCCAAAATCTTATATATTTGAGTTATTATTAAAAATAGTATAAACGTTTATGACAAATTAACAAAGGGTTTTGTTAAATTTTGAACATTAGCATAGCTAAAGCAAATGAAAAAAAAATATATATCCAAGAAAAAATTATTTAAAAAAAAAGAAAAACGATTGTGTCAATATTATATTCTATTGAAATGCTAGTTATTTTAAAAAAAACCCTAAAATTTTATATTTGGTATTCAATAAATTTATATAATATATATGGTAAATCATTTCATAGGCGTAATTAGGATATTCGTAAGAGGAAAAGTTTTTTGAGAAACCTTTCTATTAAGAATTTTATTTGAAAGCTTTAGGGTTTTTCTCAGGCCTTTGGCCTGGTTATATTTAGAAAATAATAATTTAGGTAAGACTTCCTTTTTTAAAAAAAGTTTATTAAATGTTTTATTTCTGAATTATATGAATTATAATCATTTAGTCATTACTTTAAAAAGTTAATAACACACACTCATTACTAAATTAAGCTCTTTTTAGAGCCTTATAAACTAATATATATTTATTTTTATTTGGTAATTTTATATATTTTTATAGTTGGTTATTATAATTTTTTATAAAGCAATAAAATAACATTTAATTGGAAAAAGAAAAAAAATATAATCATTATTTCAAAAAATTGAAAATTACTGTTTTAATTATTTTATTCATTTTGTTGGAAAAGAAGGGTTGAGCATAGGCACTTTCAAGACAAAACTATTGGGGCTTTCCCTCTCCACAACCCCCGAAAATTTATTTTACCTAAATATTTTTAATATTTAATATTAAAATTTTAATTATATTTATAATTATTTGAAAACTTTATCAGGCCCCTAAACAATCTAAATGTATGTTTAGAAAGTCCTAAATAAGTAGTGTGTATTCTCTATTTGTTAATTTTCCCTATTTCTCGTTTATCTAGCATAATTTAATTTATTTTAAAGATGATAATGTGACGTTGATTAATTATTTAAAAGTTATAATTTTTGGACTGAGTAGGGTTCCTCTTAATTTTACAATCTCATATTTTTTTATTTAGATTGATAAATATTAAATAAATTTTAATTTTACATACATTATTTTAAAATTTTTGATTAATCTGGTAAATTTTAAACAATTATTTAAAAAATAACCAATAATAATTTTATAAATAATTTGAATTATTTTTCGACCAAAAAATCTACTATAATTTTTAAATATTATTTAAAGAAAATTAGACCCTCCCTCCACTCATTTAAATTTTGGAACCCCTGGGGTGTAAGTGAATCAATTTTTATTTGTTTAAAATGATATAAACTGAAAATCCTAAATGGAAAGGGAAATATACCCCGTCCCCCTCCTAACCCTAGTTATGCCAATAGTTAAATTTTAAATGACGCTAGTGGAGCTAATAAAGTTAACTTTCTTATTTGTGCTAATATATTTTTTTAATTATAACATCAACTATTTCAAAATTAAAATGATAAACATAAATCTGTCCAATATTCAAGAAAAATTTTATCATAAGTATTACCTTGATTGACTTCCGTATTTGTTGAGCATCGTATTCTGCCGCGGGCATCATCAGTGCAACCAAAATATTTTCAAAATCACCGCTGGTATCACCTTTAATATCATTGATCAAATCCTAATCCCGTTAATCATTTAAAAATTTATGATAATAGTTTTAATAAATTTTTATAGACTAATCTTTTATGAAAATTATAAATTCATTTTGTCATTTTGCAATTAAATTCATTTTGTCATTTTGCAATTGAACGTAGTTAAATTCAACGTTTAACAAAATCTTAAGCTTGAGCAAAAATCTTCTAAGGTCGAAAAAAAATGTGAAGATTTATTTTTGTAAATTTGAAATTTCGCTCATTTTTGAAAAAATCTTTATAACTTTCTGTGGTCTTTATGTGTGAAGGATCTTTCATAATAATATAGTACAAATCCTAGCCATTAATATTCCCACGGAAATCAGGAATCCAAACAATGATTTGTATTATGAGAATGAAGATATAATATTATATACTCGTTTGAATAAACTCTTGTAAGCCCTTGTTATCTGTTGCCTTTCAAAATTTGTTCGACTAGGAATTATATTTATCAATTTTTTGTCATCGGTACCTAATTTAAAATTGTAAACTATGATATCCAATAGTATATACCATGCATGCATAGTTATTTAAATATTTTAAGAAATGGTTTTTCATAGAAGATGAATACTACCAATATAACAAGATACAAAATGTAATATTATGTTAGATAGTTTCTTTAAAAGCACTGCATCGGACCTATTTCTTCAGTTCCGCAATTTTGTATACTCCGCCTCGAATTCGCGCTTATTTTATATATACCGTAAATTTGCGCGTTAACTGTGAACACAAGGTTATATCCAAGTCCGTTCTAAAATTTTATTCTAGAAAAAATAGGGTTGAAACGATCCGATTTTTTAAATATTGAACCTGTTGAAAAAGTAGAATGTTTCAAACGAAAGTGGAAAAGTTATAAACACTGAATGAAAATAAAAGATGTTGGTATTATTCTTGAAAAGAACATTTATATTTATTAGAGACCTGCAGGCGCTAGGCCTTTTTTATTTTAAAATGTCGGACCTAATTTTTTTTTAAATTACACTGGTTGGGCCGAATATTTTAAAGCAGACTATTTTAAATAGCCTATAAAAAAAATATAATTAAAAATTGTGTATCATAGAACAATATATCACATTCATTCATTCATCATATTTCATATTTTCATTTTTTCTATCCTTAGATATTTCTAGTAAAATATTATTTAAATTAATTATTCAAATAATTATCATTTTAGGTGATATTTTCAAATTAAAAGCAACAAGAATACACTCAATATTTAAAATATAATACACATTTTAAGGAAAAATTTATTTTAGAAAATTATCATTTTATCTCTCTTTCTCTTTGTCCCAAATCAGGCAATTACGTATATTCCCATATAGAGAGCGCAAAATGACTGATTCTTTTATAAAGTCTATTAAATTACAAGATGAAATGGAAATAAGATAATTACCATCCACCCGAATTGAAAAGGTCCTTTTACTAAAAATTGGGAGATAAAGATTATTTTATTTCTATTTTAAGAAATAATTTTATCGAATTTTCAATTTCAAATATTCAAAACGTTTAAAAAATATCAGAGACCTGCAGGCTCAGCTCTAAGCCTAGCTGGGCCGGGCCGCATTTTAATTTTTTTAAATATACCAGGGCAGGGCTGGGTCTAAAATTATTTTTTAAATACCCGGGCCGAGCCGTATATTTTGAAACCAAATATTTTAAATCGCCATTATTAGTTATAAAAATTAAAAACAAATAAAATATATTTTTAAAAAATTCAGGTCAGGGCCGTGCAAATGGTATCCCTACAGGTCTCTGAAAAAATATATTATAACCTATATCATAGGAAGAAAAAATTGAAAAAGTAAATATAAAAATTATATAAACTAAAATATTAAAAAACAAGAAGGTGGGAGGAGGAGGGATTTAAAAATATATTGTCAGATAATTTGAAAAGTTATTATATATGGATTTCTTATTCACTGATAAACGATTGGTATAATGCGGAATAGGTATATTAAAATTAGGAAAAATGTACAGGCCCTGATAGATTTATTTTTTAAAGAAATTCGAACAGAAAATTTTTTTCAAAAAATTATGGCCGGGTCGCGCTTAAAATATTTTTTTTTTAAAAAATCAGGTAAAAATATAAAACCAGGGTCGGCCTAAAAAAATTAAATTAATCTGGGCCGAGCCAAATCCTGGCTGAGTGTGCATATGGTACCTCTGCAGGTCTCTGACTTATACAAACATTAGGAAAATAAAATAATTTTAAATTCTGTGGAGACCCAGTTTGTCCTGGTCGGAATTAAAGGAAAAATTAAAATCAAGGTTCAATCCGAACGAGTCCGACCTAATCGGCTCAGGTTCAGTTGGATCAGACTTGGATAAAATACGGAAGTGGAATCATTCTTGTAAGGCTCAGCTCAATATAGATTTACTAAACATATTGTTTATTAATAATACAATAGAAAAATTTTGCAAATATGAATATAAAATATCTCTTTAATCGGTGCAGTATATTTTACCTGCTCCTTTAAGTGCAGTTCGTAATGCCTTTGCATCAGCTTCAGCGTTAAAATTTGGTATGGGCTCGATAGTTCCACCAGCCTTTTAAAATATAAATGCATTTACATTTAATACCTCTGTAAACATTATAATTAATGACCATTACTATACTTAAAATTAAGCTATTAAAATATTTTAATGTTTTGAATTTTCATAGGCATGTAATTAACTGTTGAGCTGTACTAAATAATAATTGGATCATTTTTATAAAATTCTATAATAAACTTTTGTTTTTTGACAATAATTATCTTCAAAACATATGATAAACAGGAAGGGTTAATTCCTTATGGTGAGCACACATTCAATGGATATAAAGGATGGAACAGGTCTGCTATATTTGTTAATAACTTTTTTTCTACAATTAGTTCAATATCATCAATACTAGTAATTAATATAATTCGATCTAACTACATCGGGCAAGAAACATAAAATAAGTTATTGGAATCTTGATAAAATATTTGCATTTCAATGGATCTATTTCTTAATATTATGATGAGAATTTAGATACCTTTATATCACGTTTCAGAAAACTTGGCACTGCGTATTTCAGCTCTTATAAATGCTTTCGAACAAGTTTAAATTAGCTCTAAACTGTTCTCAACTAGGCCTATCTAAATCATCAAAAACTCGTAAAACCCTAACCTCATGCGCTTGATTTCTTTAAATTTACTAGTATTCTGTAATTAAGTTAATTTGATTTAATTTTAAAATAAATTATTCACAAGTGGATATTATTCATATGAAAATTTGATCTTTATAAGCATGGCAGCAGATGAATATTTGTCTTTCCTCTCAGAAACTTTCTTCAAATAAAATCATAATACCATCCAGGGTTGGCATGTCGGTCAATTGACCGAGGAGGAGTATTTGACCGGTCAAATACTTTAATAAATTTATTTAATATTTTGCCCAGTATAAATTATATTAATTCTCATTTATTTTACTTCCACTTGCTACATTTCAATATAAAAATTAATTTTCTTTTTATTTGTTCTGGACAGATTTACAAAATAATTTATTCAATTCTGGTAAAATGTTATATATATTTTATTTTATTATATTATTATTATTATATTATATATTATATTATAATATAATATTAAACAAATTATTGAAATAATTAGCAATAATTATAAAATAATTAAGTTTGATTAACTTTACAATAATCAAAATCTTTTTTAATTAAATTTTTATATATTAAGGATTATGGTCAAACCAAAGCATCAAGTTTGGAAACATTTTAAAGAAGTACGCGATGGAAAATCAGTTAAAGCGGTATGCAGGTTTTGCAAGATGTCCTATATTAGCCACGTTGATAGAATGGTCAAACATTTATTAAGCAGCTGTACTATGTGTCCTGCCATAATTAAGGAAAAATTTAATTCAAATTCCAAAATTTCAACCTCTACAAAAAATCCCATAAATGTAGTCTGTAATACTTCTAGCTCTGACTAAGAAAAAGGTGAAATTATCGAGAATGATTATCATATTGACAATATTTTGTCTTGTGACTCAAGAAAATTTGATTCCATTATTTCCAATTAATCTACAAACAAGGCGATTAAATGCAAATCTCAATCTTGTATAACCGGTTTTATAGATAGAATTAATCCCAAAGAAAAAATTAAGCTAGATCAATTGTTTGCAAAGGCTGTATATGCGAGCACTTTACCTTTCCACATCACTGAAAATCCCTACATCCAAGAATTCTTTAAAAAATTACGTCCTATTTACACTTTACCCAGGCGAAGGCAGCTGATTGGTTTTCTTTTAGACAAAGCGTCAGGAGATATGGAGGCGAGAGTTGCAGATATAATAGAAAAATCTCCTCACTTATCAATTGTATCAGATGGCTGGAGCAACATCAGAAACGAGAGTATTATTAATTTTATGGTGATGACGCCTGTTCCAGTATTCTACAAATTTTTAAATAATGAGGAAAATCGTCATACGGCTGATTTTGCCCAGGAATTTAAAAATATAATTCATGAATTGAATCCGGTAAAAGTATATTCTTTAGTTACTGATAATGCCGTTAACATGAAAGCAGCCTTGAGAATTCTAAAATCTGAATCTATTTATAATCATATACAATGTTATGGTTGTGCAGCGCATACTTTGCAGTTATTCTTTCACGATTTTGAACGATTGAACGGCTTCAGTTACCATATTTCAATAATTAAAAAATTTGTTAAATTTTTCAAGAATAAACACATACCAGCTGCAGTATTTCCCTTAATAAGAATAACATGGTATACCATCTACATTAAGTACAATTAGCCAAACAAGATGGACATCTTCAATAAAATGTATGGAGCGAATACAAGTATGTAAAAAAGCTCTGAAAGCATCCATTGTCGAAGAAGCTATATGTGATATCTGTCCTATAGAGATTACAAATAATATATTAGATGAATAAATATTTTGGACAAAAATTTAAAATTTTTAGATATACTTAAACCTCTAGCTACCTCATTGTTGAAAGTGCAAGGGGATAAATGTACTTTAGCTCATGTAAAAAACGAAATGCTTAATTTGGAAAAACACAAAATACAATCATGCCATTATTCTATATTTTCTCCATCTGAAGAAAAAAAATTAAAGTTATGTTTGAAAAGAGAAGAAATGATCTAAACATGTGCTCACAATGCAGCTTATTTATTGGACCCTCAATATCAAGGGGAGCACCTTACTAGCGTTGAATTTGATGAAGCGTGTAATATGATACAAGAATTAGGTATTTTACAGGGTGGTGATAATCAAAATATTTTAAGTGGTATAATAAATTTTAAAAGTAAATGCGGCATATTAATAGCCAAAATATGTGGAAAGGGGTAATGGCCGGTGGAATGCACTTTGTCCACCTTGCCCATTAAGAAAAATAGCCAATATTCTGTTAACATTTCCTAGTTCCCCTTCTTCATCAGAAAGAAATTGGTCGGTTTGGAGAAATATTCATATGAAAAACAGAAATCGTTTGAAGATTTCTACGACAGGAAAATTGGTTAGAGTATACCATAATTTAAGATTGATTAAAAATATTAGAGAAAATAATGATATTATCTATGAATCGGAACAAGACTCTTCTATGGAGGACGAAACAACTATAGAATGAATTAAAAAAATATTATGAAATTTAATGTTACATAGATTTATATAATATTATATATATACAAATTAAAGTTAATAATGGCATAAAAAACATTCATTTGAATTTGACCATATTTGACCGATTCATATTTGGGTCAAATGCACAACACTGATACCATCTAAATCGAAGCTACCAAAAACTAAAGCTATGCCTAATAAAGAGTACTTAGAAGTAAATTTTGAGTGAAAGAGAGGACCTACCTTGGTTCACCTACTAATCAAATCTAGAAATTTAATTTTCATTTTTCTCATTTAACTTATCATGAAAATAGATGAATAACTAAACTGTTTTAAATCCTGGGAGATCTACAAACCTCACAAATTCATATAAAATTTTTTTTTTGATTCATTAACATATTCTAGCACCAGGAGTGGAGTTAGGAATGATTTAACTCACAAGAACATCATTTTTAAAATAAAAATCATGGAGTTATAAGTGGAACAATTAAACTTGCATCATCATATGATTTTATTGTTCTTTCTAATAATTAAACTATATCTTAATCATACCTGAAGTAACTTCACCACTAGGCTTCTACCTTAATTTTATCTATCAAACATTAAATATTATCAACGAATAAATGGTCAAAGCTATTAATTTTTTTAATATAAACCGGTGGTTCGATGGTCTTGATGGTTTTAGACCCTTTAATTTCCTATACTTCATCAACCCGAAAAAACATTTTCCCATATTCCATTCATCAATTTTTTAATGCAACAATATCCGAAACAAAGACTTCCTAATTCATATACATCAAATTTTATTTGGAGATTAATTAATTGCCTTAATAATTATTTCTTTAGAAGATTAATCCCAAAATTATCATAGAACGAAATTGTTCATCTTTTACAGGGGGACTATAAATCTTAGGAAATAAATGATTGGAAGTACACCCTAATGGTAACCTTGTCAATCTCTTATCAAATGAACAATTGAGAGTTATCATTAATTTTTGTCTAGGGTGTCACATTGCACAACTTCATACTGCTTGAAATGTAATCTGCCTATAGATTCCAAAGGTCGGGTTAAACTTAGGATCGATATCAACGACATGCTATTATCAACATGATAACTTTTCGTGGTCCCTCCTAAAATTATTGGCTAAGTGTCGTTTTATTACATAGTTTCCTAGTTAATATTTATAAACTTATGGCTTTCGCTTTTGTATTTTCAAAACAAGGCCGAATTATTCCTAAATAGAAATCTGTTAAGTCCGGTCCGAACCGGCCCGTTAAGAATTTTGTACAAGTTGCCTGGCCTGTTATAATTTTTGAAAAATTTTTGCGTGGGGCAGCCGAACGTAATCTTGACCAATCGCAAACCTTTGTCAATTTTTAGTTCAAAGAAAGATGTCTAGAAATTTATGATTAGCCTGATGGAAATTATTCCTAGCAATGCAATATTCTATATGAAAATATTAGAATTCCAATTGTTACGAATTATCAATTACTGATAGTATTGTTAAACGGATCGTTCTGAGATGATTTTTAAAAACGGCTAACTCAATATTTTATCAATAAATATTTTATGCAAGAATTAAGATTTTTCTCATAGATGTCATAAAGGAAGCATTTATTAAATCTTGAGAGACAATATTCTGGCTATAGAGTTAGCCATTTTTAAAAAATAGGCTTAAATCCAGCCGTTTAGCAACACTAATTACTGCCAAAAAATGCCTACGAACGAATATTTGTTTTAATATTTATCGTATTTACAAATAGTCGCCTGATGTGTATTTCTTCGTCCAAAAAAAGTGTAAAAGGAACGAGATTTTATAATTATAATGACTTATTGTTTTTTTGTAGATATATATTTGGACAATAAAATTTGGAGTTGAAAATTTATTACTTTTAGTTTTAGAGTTGTGTTGGTAAATTGTGTAAGTTATTAAATACTAGCTGATAGCCCGTCAAGAATGACAGGGAGTCTGAATTTTCTCCATATGAATAAATAATAAATTTTACCTTCATTTGACGATGAATGAATCAGAATAGTCAAACGAGATGAATAGATTATCCGTATTTATCCTTCCAAGATTTCTATAAATTTTAAAGAAAAGGCCAAATATATTATGGAAAATATGGAATAGAAAAAATATGATTTGTGAGTAATGATATTTATTAATTCTCTTAAGAATTTCATAAATTGTTCTCCAAATTTCTTGTTTATTCAAAATTCCTAGAGACATACTGTAACATTAAAACACCTTTATTCAGCCCACATGTCATAAATTCTGACAAAAGGATCCAGCAGGGGGCAAGCGTCTTTATTTTACCTTGGTATTCATTATCTCATCTTTTATCTTAAATCTAAATTTGTTTAAGATATAAATATATGGTATCTTGATGATGGAACAATCTGTGATGCTCTTCCTATAATAATTGGTTTTTAATTTCTTGAAGCCAATTTAAAAAAAACTCTTTGTTACCATGATAACAATATACAAAACCCTCATCTAGCAAAATTATATTTTTTATTGAGTACATAAATAATAAATAATATAAATTTAAAAAAATAAGGAAATTAATATAATTTAAAAAAAGTATACAAAGTTGGATTAAGAAGAAAAAAAATACCAAGTTGGATTAAGATAAAAAAAAATGTTTGCTGAGATTCGAACCTAATGCCATCAGATTTGAAAGCTACGCTCTTGCCGATTGGGCCACAGATACTTTTCAAAATTAGCGATTTTTTAAAATATATATTTAAAACTTTGAAAGTGTGACTGTGAAAGTGTGATAAGGCTTTTAATATATTATAGATAGTTGTACAGGTAGAGTTTTTATAGTATATAATTTTTATATAAACACAAACAATTAAATTATTATCAAATAAATTAGTCCAAGATTTCAATGAATGCGCACTATATTGTATAATCAAAGAAAAATTATAATTGACAATAGGTGATTTTTCTGGTTTTATAGCAACACTTGTTTCTTTAAAGAGATTTCTATCATTACTTCATGAAGGACATCTTAGTATGCAGCGGTATGCACACTTATATATCTGATGAGCAGATCCAGATATAAATAATGTATTATATAATATGGTAGTATTATATTAAAATACTAAACGACCGTCTCAACCAAATAAAGAAATCTAAGCCGAATTTTTCCAGAATAGATGTTTCCCGGGACCCTTAAATATACAAATTTAGTTTTTTTCACACAATTCTAAATACACACAAAGAGAATATATTTTAGGTAACAACACCCAAGAAGGTGGATTAGACGATTAGGATAGGTTTTACGATTATCCAACAGGAGGTGGATAATGTAATATAATTCAACGCATGTGTAATGTTTTTATAATTTAACTAAATACCGTTGAACATGTCTTAGGGCTATGGGGGGGGGGGGCTTAATTTATTTTTAAATCCTCCCACCTCATTCAATATATTTTCTAATATTTTATTGAATCATTAATACAACAGACACAAACATATTATAAGAATTTGGTATATTGCAGTGATTGAATTTTTAGCATCCTGCCTCTAATTTATATGTTAGTAATTTTAATAAAAGTAATCTTTTGCCTATCTCCGATACAATAGTCAAGTGTTGTTAATATTTAAAAATTACTGAAATATTTTAAAAAAATAGCATTATGATTCTTTTACTTTGACCAAATATGATTTCAACTGTAATAATAATATAGCAAGCATCAATAACCCAGAAGTGTTCATGATAATATATTTGTTGGTTTATGAAATAATTCTAGTTAAATATTTTTATCAATTATTTTTTAAAGGTTCAAATGATAAATTGATTTATTTTTTTGATCATCTTTCATATTCATACTATAAACACAATTAGTGTAATGTAAAATAAGCACAAAAGGGTTTTCTCAATATTTTAAAAATAATAATTAATTGGCAAGTTTGCTAAAAAAAATCAATTATTAATATTTAAACGATTTCGATTTTCAAAATATGTAGAGTAAAATGAAAAAGGTGTAAATATAACTTCCAGATTTTTCAAATTATTATTTCAATTTGACGTTTCAAGGTCTTGCTTTTAAAAATAAAAATTTTGCATTTTAATTTATCGTATTTTGGTTAAAAATAAAATTTTCAATTTCCTATCGAATTAAATTAATTTGAAATTCTAAAAATAATCTTATCCTACATTTATTGAAAACTCAAAATAAAATATTTCTTAAATAATATATTTTTTTTCGCATTATAATAATAAAGAGATGTGACAATTAGGATATAGGAAACGATAAGTTTTTATTTACATTAAACTATTAATCATTGCGGATATTATTTACGACCATTTAAAATTGGTTTTCGATTTCCTTTGATAACGGCCACCAAAAGCTTTTTATAATTTCCACTTACATCGCCCTAGAATTGAAAATAAATAAAAAAAACAAATTTAAACAACGAATTGTATATTTTACCCTAACAGCTTTTACTAAAGTCTTTTTATACAACTTGTAATATTCGTTCTTTATGTCTTCCAAATCTACCTCAGAACGAGATGTTACAATTCTGGTTAAAACCTTATTGTTGGTTCCTAATCCCTAAAATAATATATAGGTATATATTGCAACTTATGAAGGTGTTTTGTTACCTTCATAGCTCTATGCATCCTTTTAGCAAAATATGTAGGTGGGTTTCTTATAATTCGCACTATTTTCATAAAAATCAAGTATAAAAAAAAAATTTCCCATAAAATTATATTTTTTTTGTCTCTCAAGTTATTGTAAATTATTTTAACCTAATCTAAGGAGACTTTTACGATATTTTCCAACGGTTCCTTTTTTGATAGTCTCTTCGATTGGTTTTTTAGTTAGTCGGCTATATTGATCGAATATCAAATTAAGTTGAGCAAAATTTCTGGTGGCTAATATATCAGTAAATGTTTTAGCATTATTTCCACCGAGAAACTTTGACCCCGACTCTTTGTACAAACGCTATTACATAATGTATTCGATAAATTACATTAAATTTAATATTATATCTTTGGAAAAAATGATTTTATTACCTCAGCGTCTCTAAGTGCCGCTGCAGGGTCGGTTTGTCGAGATTGGTCTCTGTTACCCTAATATAGGTATATTTACAACATTCAAAAATTTTATAAAATCTAATATATAACTTGGCTTAATTTGACTAATAAATCTTCCACTTTTCCATGAGTATCACCTTTAATAGACTTGGCTATGTCTTTTTTATATACTTTATATTTTCAAAAATATATGTATCTAATCTTTATAATTACTCACATCGTCTATACGCCTCACGTAGGGCATTCATTTGGTCTGGTGAGCGCGTTAACATGATTTCCAATAATAAATCAAAATCAGTTCCTAAACCCTAGTAAATTAAAATAAATTTCACTTAAGTTTTTAATTCTAAATCTAAATAATATTTTTTTTTAGTTGAATTTTTTATTTGTTAAATGATAATGAAAACGTAATGTAAAATTTTGTAAATTCTATTTAGAAATATAAAGAAAAATAATTAAATATGATTAAAAAAAACCCACAACTACTTTAAATTTTCAACGGCGTATTATTTTTTGGAAATAAAAAAAACGTAGGCTGTGTTCTAGGTCGACTTAATACTTAATAATTGGCTATTTAGTAGTGTTATTAAATGTGATTTGAGCTGATTTTTAAAAACGGCTAACTCAAGATTTTAGCCAGAAAATATTGCCAAAGCCTTTAGATTTCTATAATAGATGTCCAAACTTTTGTGCCATCTATGAGCGAAATCTTCAGGCTTATTTTTTTTTTTGATTAAATATTGTGTCAGGGCTCAAATCGAGCCGTTTAACAACACTATTATTTAGCCGTCTTTGAAGTATGGACTAAATAGTAATAGAGATCTGCAAAAGTAGGCCAGGCCCGTATCCGACCTAAACCCGGCCCTGTCCGAAGCCTCATATTTTTTAAAAAATTCGGGCCGGGACATGTCGGGGGCCTTAGAAATTTTTTATAATATATCTAAATTTATCAATTTTATGTTGAATTTTTTATGTAAAATAAAAATATGTGATTTTATTTATAGAAAGTAGACGCCAAATAACATATATCGTTTATTTTGAGTTATTATAAAAATTAATTTCTATATTTAAAAAAATTTTTAGCCAGGCCGGGCTTGAAAAATTAGGCCCGATGCCTAGTCAAAAATACAAATGAATAATATTTTTTTAAAAAATAAATAAAATAAAAAGAGAAAAAATACAAAAAAAACGAAAGAAAACATAACCAAAAAAACGAAGAAAAATAAAAAATAAGAATAAAATACGAAAAATAGCAATGTCAAATGCTTAAAATAAACCTAAATAGGGTGTTCTTGATCAATTTTTGGCCTTTACTAAAAAGAAATTACGTATCCAAATTAAGCTGACATAGGACACGGCCTAAGAACTTAATTTTTTTAAAAATAACTTTTTAGGATATTATAGTACAATTCTATACATATTGTCGTGTGAGTATTAAAGTGTTCTCTATCCACTTTTTTGTAAATTTTTTTTTATCTTTTTAAAATATTATTTGAGAATCTTTTATTGAATTATTGCATTGTAATCTCCTATTCAAATTACAGGAATATATATTTTTTTAAATATTCTCCTGAACAATCTAATAAAATGGGTGTAGAACATTATAATACTAAGCCATGATACAAAAAAAAACTTTTAAATAAATTAATTTTCATATAAAGGCATACATTCGGGTATGCCCACAATAAGAAGAAGGTTGTTTTTGTTTCATAATTCACTAGTAATACAACAATTCATAAACTCAGTTTTCATTTTATATGGTCAAACACTTTTGATTATTATTTATTTATATGAATGAGCAGAAAAGCTCCTGCAGTAGTTTTTTAAAAAGAAGGGAGCCTGGATTGCAATCAACTGACTTTTGAGAAATGGAATCTAAGGATATTTAGCAATAAAGGCAGATTTGAGAGAACACATTATAACTATAATAATCTACTATTAAAAAAAGAAAAATAAATTGTTTTCACCTTGATTGTATAAAGAAGCAATTAAACCCCATTTAATAACTAGAAAGTTCATACTTTAATCGTAGTTAAACAAGTTATAACTTTAATAGATTTTGATATATTATAGATAAGATTTAGATATTATATGTTGCAGCAAATGTTGGAAATCAGGGTTAGCACCATTATAAATTGTCTGTCTGAAATTTAGAAGGTTGGTAATTTGCACATACTATAACGAAATTCTGGCGAAATCAGATTTTTGAAATATATATTTTAAAAAAAGGTCCCTCAGTAAATTACTTTACTTTTTAAAATAATACAAAAAATAAATTTATTGATAGTGTTAATTTTTTAATTTTAAAAATTATCTTGCTGAGTATATTCCAGTATATATATAAATTCCATATTGCCAGATTTCCAATTGTATAAACAAACCGTAAGATAAAATGTATATATGTCGTATTCAGGGAATTCGAAATTTCTCAATTTTGAATCATTTTAGGAAGGCATATTAAAATTTTTAAAATCCGAGATAACCAGAAATGTATTTCAGCATGTGTAGAGTACCTATCCTTTAAATTTAAGACAATTTTATCCATAAAGCATTTGTATATTTTTAAAAAAATTTATTTTAAACCATATAAATTGTAATATATATTAAGGGCTTTTTCTCTAAAGTTCATGACAGAATAATTTGAAATCCATGGTGTGGATTATCTAATTATACTGAAATATATTTCCGGTAAAAATATTTTTTCAAATTTAAAAATCGTTCTCAATGAATAATCTATAATCGAGATATTCCGAATCCCAATGGATTCCATATTCCAATACGTCATATTTCTTTCTCATTTGATAAAGTAGTTAAAAAATGTAAATTGGAAAATACTTTGATAGATCGTCTGACTAATTGCGCATCGTATTCGGCGAGTGGGGTCATTAAGGCTAACAATAATTTACGATAATTACCTGACGTGTCCCCTTTAATATCTTTCATTAAATCACGCTATAATTAAAATGATATAAATAGTAACGTATGTTAGTTTAAGCGATATATAACCCTTTTATATTTTTCTCTATAAGCTTGCCTAATTTGCTGTCTTTGATCATTGCTTCTGCCAGCTACGATACTTATTAACTTTTTGTCATTTGTACCTAATTTTATATTTAACAGATAATGGATAAATAATCTTCTTATTTATAAAATATCAAATAAAATCCATAGAGACTTATAAGAAAATAAACTTCGAAATTGGAAACCCTAAGCCTGGAACTCTCGGAAGAAGGTCAAATCTAGAAACATAAACCAAAGCTTAAAATCCACTTTTTAAAATTTATAATTAGAATCCATTTTAAAATTCCCAAAAACCGGTTTTGGAACCAGTTTCAGTACAAGTGCAAGTAATTTATATATATTGTTCAAAATATTGTGTTATTCATTTTAGAGTGTTTAGAACTACTTTAAAAAATATTAAAAACCAGAACGCCTCAGGTTCCAAATTCTGCTTATAATTAAGATAAACTGGTCAAAAGAAAAAATAGGTGTTTGAAACTTATTAAACCTAATATTTATGTCTGAACTAAAATTAAATGATAGATTATTATTATATTAATAAATTGGCAGAAAAACGCAATGGTTATGATTATGATCTAGCAAGGTCATCACAAGATAAATAGGATTTAAGAGGTTAGAAATTTTGTACATTTGCTAGTTATTTATAATTGAATTTTTATAAATGACTCGAAACCGAAACACATTAGGGGAGACTGGGGTTAGTCAAACCAATTTTTACAAAATTAGCTCCTGTTTTTTTAGATAATATAAAAAATAATATATGATTGGATACCTAAAACTATACTCTATAAAGGTGCCTTATAAAAAATCTTTAGAATATAATCATTTTTTTTAATTTTATTTTTTGTAAAAGTGAAAATTTTGTTCAACAAGCCCCAATAGCGGGTGAGGCAAACCACATCAAGGGGCTTCCTAAACCATTAGTTTTTTTTAGGTCATAATAAATTGAAATGCATTTTTATTTATTAATAATGATATGTATAGAATAATTTTATTGTTTTATTCTTCAAAATCTCATAATAGGGGAGACCAGGGCTAGTCGGCGCAAGGGGCTTGTCGGTTCAAAATATTTTATTTTAAAACCAGTAAAGATTAAAATTTGAAATTTAATTCCAAAATAGAATTCTATAATATCCATAATTGGGGATGAAAATAATTTATAATATTTAGCTATTTAAATTTTTATCCATTATGACATGTTTTTGACATAAAAATTACAATATTTTCACTTAATATTATTAGGTTGTATTAAAAAATTAAAAGTTTAAACATGACAAAATGAACATTATATTAGTGTTAAATATCTATTTTAATTTTTGGGAAAGTTTCAGATTGATATATAATGCTTAAATGTATGTTAAGATCAAATTAGTAATATTACCACCATTGAGGTGTAGTAGAATCGTGGTTAGTCGGCGCAATCAGTCAATTTTTATTATATTATTATGGTACCCAAATATATAAGCAAAATTCAAAATAATAAAATTTTTACTAAAAAAAGATTATGAAGAAACTATAAAACTGTATGAAAATGATATCTCATTAAGAAAAATACAATTTTTTACAGGTTAAGATATAATAAATGTAGGGGAGACCGGGGTTATATTGTCCATAAAAAATTGAGAGGCTGTGAAAAGGAGGAGAAATAATTTATCAAAATAATTTTGATGTTATTTTATTCTTTATATAATTATCTACGGTATAAATTAATATCTAATAAAAAAATATTATATATTTTTTTAAATTTAAATTTAAAAAAAATGAAAATTTTTGAGTCATGAAAAAGAGACGGGGGACGTATTATCTTTTTGTGGGGCATGTTTTAGACTATCATTTTCTAAGCATTTTATTCATTTTTTTTCATACAAAAATCATAACAAACATATAATATTAACATACAACACATTTATTACATATAAAAAATGGATTAAAATCACAACATGATCCAGCCCATAAATGACAATTACGGCATTGGAACCAATCTTCATTATGGTGGTGAGTTTGATAGTTTTTGTGGCACACTGAACAAAATTCTTTTTTGCCAGCATTCATATTTAAACTTTTTTTACTTTTTTTTATTATTGGTTTGATTTTTTTTCCAGATTATTAGTCATAGATCTGGCTATTTTTCTGTAAGGTGAAGAGGTTAAAATGGCTGAAGTCATTTGATTACATGTTGTTTTTTTAAATATTGTTGGATGGGGACTAATAATTTCTGGAGCAAAATCTTTTTCCACGTGAGAAGATGATGGAACAGGACTATCACTGACAGATGGTTGCGAAATAATTTCAGATAAATTTAAATTCTCATTTAGGATCGTTATTATTATTATAATATAAAGGATTAGAATTTTCGTCATTAAAAATTAAAGTATTGGGCCATATACCTGAGGATTCAAAACCCTTTTGGATATTTGAAGCTGAGGTGGCTTTTGGAAGGACATCCTTTACTACTCTAGGGATATCATATATAGTAAAACTTTTCCCTGGATGCATTCTAATCCAAGCATCCAAGGCACTGTTGTAATATTTTTTTAGAGGTTTGCAAAGAATATGGTTACTAACGATATTGCGCGAGGTTCGAGTCAGTAAAAATATATTTTATTAACTAACTTTTTCATTTCACACTTCGTTTATATACATTTTTTTATAAGTCCAAATTAGAATATAAACGAAAAACAAAAAAGTAATATAAAAGTAAGGTTACGCCGTTTATAAAATAAAATTAAATTATAACACATAATAAAAATCAAATAATAAAAATTAGATTATAACAAAAAATTAGATAAAGAAATAACGCAACATTCTCCCTCTTCTGATAATTTCATCGGAGAAGTCATAGAGAGTTTGTTGTTCTAGAAGTTTTTCCCGTTTCGATTGTATTCGGTTTCTTCTTGATTAGCGCATAAGTCTCAAATGTTCTCGTAGGTTTGATGAAATCGTTGAACGTTATCGTTAGCTTGATATCCTTATCGTACGTTGTTCACATTTCTCAAATTTCATAATTAATCCAGTCGAATATTGGAATTTGGAATAAATCGGAATATATAATTTGGAATAGTTGATCAAATCAAATATATGAATAATATGCACGAATAAAATTTTGAATTTTGGAACAATAAAATATATAATAAGGAATGATAATTTATGGAATAAGGAATAAAATTTTAATCCAGAATAAGGAACGATAAATCATAATAATTATTATATTATTTTTAAGTTAATCATAGCGTTTTATACTTTTAGCGTTTTATGCGTTTTATATTTTTAGCGTTTTATATTTTATAAGCGTTTAATTTTTCGTGTTTTAGTGTTTAATTAATTTTTGTTTATTTTCTATGTCCCAGGTTAAAATATGCAAATAATATATTATTCACATTTCCCTCTCTTTAAATAAAATTCTTCATAAGATGTTTTGAAAATTCACCACATAATTTAAATATATTTTTCTAAAATGAATGTTTTTTTACATAACTTTTTGTCTTCAAAGCTTTTAATTTCAAAAACATTTTATCATATTAAGTATTACTTATAAGGGTTATTTGAATCAATCATGTGATTTAAAAATTACATTTTAACATATTTAAAATTAAGTTTTATCTTCTTGTTTAGGATTTTTAATATTTTTAATTATATTTAAGAATTCATCTTTAGGTTTATGTTAATTTACAACAATTGGTCATCATTCAAGAAATCAAAAAATATCAATATTATCCATTATGATTTTACATTTTAGTAATTTTAAAAATTTATAACATGCCTTTATCCTGGCATAAAATTTTAATTTATAATACTTCTTACGTGGATTAGAATAATAAGTAACCATCATTGGTCTCACAAAATAGAATTCATAACCTATCGTTCAACTTCCATATCAGTTCTTCCTAGGTTGTCACATTAGGTTAGGTGCTGGCTATTATATTCCAGTCCAACATCCAGAGCCGGGACACCATAAAGAAAGAAGCTTTTTGCATGAAAGAACGTACTAAGGTTTGATTCTTGGTCATCTCAGTAGTTTAGGTAGTCACAATAGATAAGGTAGTCATAACATCACAATAGATAAGGTAGTCATAATAGGTAGTCATCTCCATAGGTTAAGCACAAGGTAGAGTCATAATAGGTAGTCATCTCCATAGGTTAAGCAATCAACACAATAGGTAGTCATATAAATAGAGTCATCTCAATGGATTAAACAATCGTCACAATAGGTAGTCTAAATAGAGTCATCTCAATGGATTAAACAATCGTCACAATAGGTAGTCATATAAATAGAGTCATCTCAATGGATTAAGCAATCGTCATAGATTAGATGGTCATCTCAGCAGATTAGGTAGTCATCTTTTTCTAGTCCACCACCCAAAGGGCACCATGCAAAGAATAAGGATGGTGACGATATGGTGCGAGGTTCGAGTCAGTAAAAATATATTTTATTAACTAACTTTTTCATTTCACACTTCGTTTATATACATTTTTTTATAAGTCCAAATTAGAATATAAACGAAAAACAAAAAAGTAATATAAAAGTAAGGTTACGCCGTTTATAAAATAAAATTAGATTATAACACATAATAAAAATCAAATAATAAAAATTAGATTATAACAAAAAATTAGATAAAGAAATAACGCAACAAGGTTCAAAAACAGTTCTATCCAATGTGGCTATACTTGTAGCCTCTGGTGTTCTCAAAGAAATAGTTGGATTTCTTTTAATAAATGCTCCAAACCAGTCTTCACCAGCTGATTGAGTTATTTCCCAAGATTTTGGTACTTGTAAACTATACCTCTTGGCCATTTGATAAGCTAAAACTCTAACCTAAATTTAAACATAAGACATTAAATTATTTATATATTAAGGCAATTTAATTGAAATCCTAATTCTTAAATTTTATTCTGAATTTATTTTATAATAAAATATATCATACATAATTAAACCTCTAATGTATAGGTAAGAACCAAAATATGTTTTAATGCATGATATAATTTATGCTGAATCAATGAATAAATCATTTTAAAATTAATATACATGCAGCATCATTTTATTTTAAATATATATCATACACACATAATTAAATCTTTAATA